TTTTTATTTTTGGCTGGCCAGAATGGGTAAATGAGCACTTTAAATGGGTAAATGGTACAGTATGTGGATTATATTTCAATAAAGCTGTTACCAAAAAAAGTCAGGCCATCTAGTCACAACCCTGCAATGTCTGCTCATTTTACTAAAGCCACAATCTTTAAGATGGAAAAAAGTCCTACTGCCAATCTCTCTCTTGCTTATTTAACTTGGGCCATTCCAGCCTCCTTGCCTTAGGGACGTGGGCACACTTCTGCCTTAGGGCCTTTGCACTGGCTGCTGTTCCCTCTCTCTGAAGTGCTCTTCCTCTAGATCTGCTTGGCCAGCTCCCTCACGTCCTTCAAGTCTTTGCTCACATGTCACCTTTTTAATGAGGTCTACCTGACCACCCAACTTAAATCGCACCATCACACCATCCTGGTACTCCCAAATTTCCTTATCCTGATCTATTTTTCCTGAAAGCACTTATCAGCTTGTAATAGATTAATAACTTCCTTAAATGTTAATTGTCTGTTGCTCTTGCTAGAGAGCAAGCTCACAGAAGGTCTTGCTCTTTGTACAGCTTCTGGTATATCCCGAGGACACAGAACAGTGCCTGGCATGGGAGTAGGTGCTTCACAAATATTTATTAAATAAGCGAATGGTAAACATCTCATAAACACGAACCGTTTTCATCCTCCTGTTCGATGGATAGGCAGGCAGAGCAGGGGTGTGAATAGGGTTTCCCTACCAAGAGGAGCTCCTCGGGCTGAGCTCTTGAGAAGCTGAGACCCAGCGGGGAAAAGAGGAAAAAGACTGTTCCTGACTGGGGCCCAAGGAACAGGGTGGGGAAAGGGGAGCAGAACTAAAGACAGTGGCAGAAGGTGGTGATTTTCAGACCCGGTGAACTGGGAGGTGAAATTCTACACAAACAGTAATGATTCATTGTCACAAATGCCTGATGCAGAAACAAATATTTAAGTTGTATTGCAACCTAAATACCATTCTGGCCATCCAGGAAAATGCTGCTGGTGCATGGAACTCTGCTATTTTGATTTTCCTCAAAGTTTTTCCTTTTTAGATACCTAAATAGGGTAAGGAGGAAAAGGATAATTGGATTCATTCAGACTGAACTGACGGGCTGCAGCCTCTTGCACGCAACTTATTCCATTCTCACCGGAGCCCTCCGAGAAGGGGGTGTCAGTGTCGCGTGTTACAGCCCAGAAAACAGGCGCAGCACCAAGGACAGAGCCTGGCACAGAGCAGACGC